GACTTTTAAAATAAATACTAGGGTAATAAGTTGGTAAATGAGAAGAGATTGCGCAAACAAATGAAAAGAAATTCTAGATGAACCCAGAGGGGTGCCAGTACGATCCACTTTACGGTTATACACAGCCACAGACACGGCTGACGGCGGCACCCGATATTACAACGCTAACACCGTTTGCACCGCAAGCAGCACCTCTCGGAGAATATCCATCGACGCATGCACTCTCCACTTATGATCCATACAGGTTGTTTATTGGCGAACTTTTTTCTCACCATTAGAATCGGGTCTTCTTTTTCATTCAGAAGCTCGAACTTCGCCTGGCTGTGGTGCCAGGCAAGTTCAAAACTTATATCAAAAGTGTGTGAGACCCACAGTTTTGCTAACTTAGCTGGTAATCTCGTGTTCCGTGAAAGTGCCGCATACAGCTAGTAAACCAAGCTTCCTTCTTTGTCAGGCTTTGAGAAGATGGTAGCTTAGCGGGCAATACTAAAAACTGTTATGCATAGAATTCACGGGGAATCGAGCTGGTAGCAGGATCTTTGGCTTTTAAATGGTTGATTAATGATATCTTTCAAATGATTAACCCCGTCTGGAACGTACCAGGCTTGTCGATGCGGTTATACCTTTGTGTACGAATTGCAAGCAGTCAGGTCGTTAACTGTATGAATTGTTGTTGCTTTACATCTGTTCTGTGCGCTGAGTAGCGTAAATCACCGTAAATTTTGCATAAGGGAAAATGAACAATTTCTGTTTAACAATCGTTCTTTGAAAATGACGCAGCTGTTCAGGAAACAATTTTCCCGCCAAACACCTTAATTGCCGGGACGCGCGATCCACGCATAACCAAGAGCTGAATTTGAAATCTTTAAGCCATACTCGGACAAGGAACACTCGGTTAAAATTTGAACTTCCCAACTTTTCTGGTCCTTAAGTTAGCAGTTTTTTCACCAAAACTTTCAAGTACTTGTAATTGAATACTATGCGCACCTGATTCTGAAATCTTTCGTTATTGGGGAGCATTCGTATAAAATTTCAGCCTTTCAGTTTTTCTGGTTGATGAGTTAGCACTTTTTCCGTTAAAGCTTTCATGTGCTAGTACGTAAGAACCATGCACATTTGGAAGCCTGACCTAAAATTTTTATCTCTCACATGCATAGGGAATATCTCTGCGAAGCTTTATTCTGCTAACTTGTCTGGCCCCGAGATTGCCTTCCCGCCAAAAAATTTGCACATTTTTTTACGGCACCCGCGCGCGTTATCCAAGCATAAGCAAGCAATAATATCAAAATGGAAGGGTTGCACATGAGATGGGCACATATTCCCGAAGTTTCAGCTTTCTAGTTCTCCTGGTTCTCGAGTTGAAAGTGGATTACAAAAAGGCGAACACACACGGCTTTTTGCCAATATGCA